GCTGAACACCAGGTTGGTATATAACAAAGCTGCCTTCAGTCATAATTTGATCTTGGATATGTCTACCCAAGATCTGGGTGGGCTGGAGGGGGGAGTACTTTTCTTGGAAATGTGCCCACCTGGCTTTCAGGTTTGGCATCAGGTGAGACTCCAACAGGCAGGGGAGGGGCTGTTGTTATCTTTAAGTTCTTGCAGGCTCTGCAAATAACCAGATGTGAGGCTCTCTGAAGTCGGGCTCTAGGTAGCCAGTGTACCACCTTCTTGCTCCCCAGCATCATCCCTGCTTGGCCAGCTAGATTCCATTGCCGGGGTGGTGATAAGAGTCCCTGAGGCTGTGCATAGGATTTCAATCTGCCCGCTGGTGGTGTAGAGTCTGGGGTGGTGGAGGGGTTCATGGCCTCCATAGCAACCATGGACTTGTCTTTGATGGCCCAAAGCATACCAGGGGTTGCAAGGTAGATCTATTTTTTGTCTTGGGGCAGTTGTAATGTGATCTGGTAGCGGAGGACATTAACAGCAATCCATTGCCACGGGCAGATCACTCTGATTGCTTTCTCACTTGCTGGTGCCAACCTCTCCTGCAGGGAGATAGGGCCTGTTCAATCAGCCCACCCCAGGGCAACTGATGGACTCTATGGGGTTCCAAATGGAGTTTGAGGTTTTTCCTGAGGATGTACAGAAGGCAGTTCAGCTGACGCCTCAGTTGCTGTCTAGAGTGAGTGGGTGGCTGGGGCCTTGGACTACATCACCCCTATCCAGCTTCTCCCTGTGTAGTGATCTTAGGGCATACCTTAGTTTACTGAGGAGGTCCAAGAGATGAAGTGCCAGAAGAGATTGATCAAATATGAGAAAGAGCCCACATCAGAGATTACTTTGTGGGGTAAGGGCAGAGAAACATCAATATTTCTCTGAACTGCCTGGGGCTTAGTCTTGTGTGATCTGGGATGAGTTTGAATGGGTGACTCCTGAGGAACTGGAGAGATTTCTCTGCACTGTTAGCTCAGCCACCTGTGTGCTGCATTTGGATCTCTTCTGCATTGTTAAAGCAGCCAGGGAGGTGATCTGTAGTTGGGTCCAGGCTATGGTGTCTGCCTCTTTGTGAGAGAGGTGGTACCTCCAGCCTTAAAGGAGGCAGTGGTATGCCCCCTCGGACCCCAAGTTTTAGATAACTACTGCCATGTTTCCAACCTTCCCTTTTTGGTCAGACTGCAGCTGCAGTGAACTCTGGAGAAAGTGGATTATCTAGACCCATTTGAGTTGGATTTCAACCCAATATTTAGTACAGAGACAGCCTTGATTGTGCTTGTAGATGACTTCTGGCAGATCTAGGATGGAAGTAGTGCATCCATCTTGTGCTCCTTGATCTCTGAGGCTTTCAGTGCCATCAACCATGGTATCCTTCTGGACTGGCTCAAGGAATTGGGAATGGGGGGCACCACTTTACAGTGATTATCTTGCTTCCTTCAGGGCCAGTTCCAGTTGTTGTTGGTTGAAGGGTGGGGTGGGTGGGAAAGGTCATTCTCTAGGCCCCTCCTGTGTGGGATACCACAGGGTTCAATTGTCTCTCTCTTCTTATTCAATATCTACATGAACCTGTTGAGTGAGGTCATACACTAGTTTGGGGTTTAGTATCATCAGTACGCTGATGATAACTGTAGAGGTAAGAGGATAACCTTGATAAAGATAGGCCAGATGTTACCAAAGCAATGAGGAGAAAGACATGGTATAAAGTTCAAAACAAGCATAAAGTATGTGTAAATGGCTAAGAAACAAACACTTTTCTGTCCATGGGTATAAGGGGAGGAGGCACAGCATAGAATTTCAAGATTCTGTTATTATAGCCAATCTCAATAAAAGTAATTGTAGCCTTCCTGTGGAGTTGATTTTTGGTCTGGTTTACCTGGCGGGGGTTGACAGGCTGGCTGATTGAGGCTATTGAGATACTGTTGCAGGTCCTGGGGGCTGTGCAGGCCTGAATGGGGATGAACTATCTCTAATTCGATCTTACCAAGATGAAGTGATTGTGGGCTCCAGGACTAGCTGGTTCTGGGGATATTTCATCTCTGACCTTGGAGGGGGTTGCACTTCTCCATTCAAGGGTGGTGCACAATCTGGGGGTCTTCAGGAAAGCCTTTGGACAGATTCATGTGGTGCAGCAGTTGCAGCTTTTCCTTGATTGGGAGGCCTTTTAGTCACTCATGTCCTAATCACCTCACAGCTTGACTATTGCAACACACTCTACATGGGGCTGCCCTTGAAATCCACTTGGAATCTTCAACTGGTCCATAACTGCAGCAGTGTGAGCAGTTATGGGCATGCCTTGGTATGGCTGTGATACCTGTGCTCCATAACCTGCACTGGTTGCCAATTGCTTCAATGTCTGGTTATGACCTATAAAGCCCTCCACAGCATGGGACCCAGTTATTTGAGAGATTGGTTATCTCATGGTGTCTGCCTGGTTGATTCGAGCTAACAGTATTGGTGCACTCTGGGTTCCTTCAATTAAGCAACGCCATCTATCAGGACTCAGGAAGCGTGCCTTCTCTGTTGCAGCACCTGTTCTGTGGAAGGAGGTTCCCCGAGATCTGGATGGCTCACACCCTATTGGTGTTCCAAAAAGCCATACAGGCCTGGCTGTTCTCCCAGGCCTTGACTAGGGTGATTGGTGCCCCTTTGTTGGATGCCAGTTGCTAGTGGGAGTCGTTTTGGGGTTTGCCAGATCCACCATTTCTCTTTTCTTTGTTAAAGTCTGGTTCTATTGTTCGTTCTGTTATTTATTTGTCAAATTTATATGGCCGCCCATCTCACAAACAAGTGACTCTGGGCAGCATACAACAAAGCTAAAAAAAAGTACAGTGGTACCTCGGTTCATGAACTTAATTCGTTCTGCGACTCTGGTCGGGACCCGAATCAAATTTTCCCATAAGGTTCAATGTAATTACGGTTAATCCATTCTGGCATGGAGGACAGGGAGGCGGCTATTGCTTGGAGGGAGAGTCCCCCTCCCTACGACGTGTCACGGGTGGGAAAATGGCCGCGGACCACGTGTAACGGGCGGAAAAATGGCCGCGGACCACGTGTAACGGGTGGAAAAATGGCCGCGGACCACGTGTAACGGGCGGAAAAATGGCCGCGGACCACATGTCACGGGCAGGAAAATGGCCGTGGATATTGTTCGTCACCTGATCCGGCGTTCGCGAATGGAGGCAAAATTTTGCGACCGGAATTGTTTGTGAACAGAAGCGTTCGTGACCCGAGGTACCACTGTATTTACAAAACAATCATTAACATCATCACCATCATTATTATTATATAATAATCTTTAAAATTATAAAAAGCATAAAGCTAAAAGAAAAAAAATACTGGGTAAAGAGCAGGTGTTAATAACAGTGGAGCCACCTCAATATTTCACCAGGGTCCCCAGGCCTGATGGCACAATCAGGTCTTAAGGGACTTCTGGAAAGTCAAAAGGGATGAAGCCAGCCTTACATGGGTGGGGGGTGGGGGAGAAGGGAGAATATTCCGTAAAGCAAGCAGAAAAGGTCCACTGCCTAGGACCTGCCATGCGTAGTTCCCTAGTTGACAGAAGCCACAGCCCGCCCTCTGGGCTGGGACAGACAGATGTAATCAGGGAGAAGCAGTCCCTCAAATAGCCTGGTCCCATGCCATGTAGGGCTTTACAGACCAAAACCACCACCTTGAATTGGATCCAGAAAAACTGGTAACTAATGCAGCTCATGGAACAGAGGTATAACATGTGTTTTTCTAGAAACATACATATGGTGC